CCATTTAAAAGACGTAACCTCCCTATCGAGGACAAGGGTTTTACCATATCCCTGAAGAATTCCTGACATAAAAGACATCCCTGAAGAATTCCTGTTAAATAGCATTTACCCCTGAAGAAATCAGCATTTACCCCTGAAGAATTTCAATTTTTACATCTGACCCCTGAGGAAATCTCATTCAAAGTAACCAACGCCTGAAGAATTCCGCAGGAGAATTTGTTCACCCATGAGGAATTCCAGGGTTAAAAATTACCTTACCCCTGAAGAATTCCACGGTCCTCGATAGGGGGGGGGACGGATATTAAATGGAATAGCCCATTACGAACTATATACTGAATGTAACTACCATCTTGTATAAAAAGTAATTAGTGTTAACTGCAGTTAAAAAGTAGTTTAACTATGCTTTAGGGTTGGCGTATACACACTTAAAAACGCACAAGTTTGTTACAAGTCTCTTCACAAGCTGTTAACAAGATGTATTCGCACTGCTTATCACAAGTTGTCAACAGGTTTGGAACAACTTGTTGACAACTTGTAACAACCTTGTCGAAATTATCAGACTTGTTGCAAGGTTGTTCTGACAAGTCTGTGACATGCTTGATGTAACAAGATTGTTACAACCTTGTGTTGACAACCTTGTAACATCCTTGTTATATCATGGCTGTAACAAACTTGTGGTTAGCACAATCTTGTAACAAGGCTGATAATGCCATCAAGTTTGTTACAAGTTGTTGACAGCTTGTTTCAAACTTGTTACAACAAACTGGGAACAAGCAGTGCGAACACAACTTGTTTGCAGACTTGTTACAACTTGTGCGTTTTTACGTTTGTAGTTAACTGCAAGCCAAAACGTAGTTAAAAATGGCGGCTTTTAATATTTTACTTTATAGTTTTTAATTTCGAGCTCGGCCAGTGACTGTTTGCCTGATACAACCGAGTAATACGCCTTGGCGAGTTCCCGGCAGAAAGAGGTGGGATATTTTCCTAGGGGAGATAAATATTTTAGGATCCTACACACGTAAAAACGCACAAGTTGTTACAAGTCTGTAAACAAGTTGTTACAAGTCTGTTCACAAGCTGTCGACAAGTTGTGTTCGCACTGCTTGTTCCCAGTTTGTTGTAACAAGTTTGAAACAAGCTGTTAACAACTTGTAACAAGCTTGATGGCATTATCAGCCTTGTTACAAGACTGTGCTAACAAGTTTGTTACAGCCATGATATAACAAGGATGTTACAAGGTTGTGTCAACACAAGGTTGTAACAATCTTGTTATATCAAGCATGTAACAGACTTGTTCGAACAACCTTGTAACAAGTCTGATAATTTCGACAAGATTGTTACAAGTTGTCAACAAGTTGTTCCAAAGCTGTTGACAACTTGGGACAAGCAGTGCGAATACATCTTATTGACGGCTTGTTGTCAGACTTGTTACAAGATGTGAGATTTTTACGTGTGTACCCTAGCTTGCAGTCGGAAATTAGTAATCAAATTTGCGTTTTAAACTAATTACTTTAGGCTCGGTTTAGACGGCGAACTTTTCATGTGCCGAATCTAATGCAAGGATTAATTACGACGCTGGAGCGCCGTCTAAATCAATTACTGTGGATGCAATGGAAGTGTTGATAATATTTCATGAATTTTTTTTTCTGTGTTGGTGTTGTGTACTCAGGTGAATATGATATTTGTGATGTTACTCTGAGTGTATATCCACACCGGGCGAGCTTGAAAAATATGCCCGGCCACGGTGGGATTCGAACCTACGACCTTTGGAATACTAGCCCAATGCTTTTCCAACTGAGCTACGTGGTCAGGACGGTTCGAGTAAGTGATATTTCGGAACAGAATCTAGTTCCTTCGATACCAGTGTATTCTAGTAATTGCATGAATTCATTTCCTCAAGTTGATCAATTCATATGAATTCAAATTTCTTTTTACTTCCTGTGCGTTTCCTATTGGTCAATCGGTTCTGAAACGAAATCTAATTGGCCCATCTAAAAGTAACAGGAAGTTGATCAATTTTTTATCAAATGGATTGATCAACTGAGGAAATGAATTCATGCAATATTTTATCAACACTTCCATTGCATTGACAGTAAGTTCGGCAGGTTTTGATTAAGTTCGACACGACTCGAAGATGCGACAAGACAACTCGTATATGCGACACAGGTTCGGCATTGATTTAGACGCCGTGTTTTTCATGCGCCGAACCTAATGCATAATTATTTTTGTGGGTAGCCGCGCATGCGCAGCTAACCACTATGTGAGAGACTGAAGCGCGATCTTCCGTTTCTCTGTGGCGCTGTGGCTCTGTGGCCTTCGTGTCCGCGGTGTCCTGCTGCGCGGTTCCTTTTATCCTTGAAATACGAACCGTCTATAGACCATATGCTAAGTTCACTAACGCTCATACCGTACAGAGATGTGTATAAATTCTTAGTAAAGTCTTTATTGTAATATGTTTTGTCAGGTCGATAGTCATTTCCAACGCATATAGAATCGAATATGTCGTTGTTTTTATATTATAAATCACTGCTTGTACAAGGGTCATTGGGGTTATTAGAGACCTTAAGATTGACGTTTACGGCAAACGTCAAACCGCTAGCGAGGTTTATGATTTTACAACTCTATTATAATAGCTTTTACACCAGTTTTGAAATATGTTAAACTTATTAAACTTGTGCTCTTTAGCAATGATTTAAGAAAGCAAATTAACCACTAGTCATGCCATTCACCAAAGCAGTAAACTAAGATTTGGCGTTTGAAGTTGACGTTTGGCGTATAAATTTCATGCTTGAACTGCTACGAGGGCTTGTAGTTGTTAAAGCATGAAATTTATACGCCAAACGTCAACTTCAAACGCCAAATCTTAATTTACTGCTTTGGTGAATGGCATGATTTGTGGTTAATTTGCTTTCTTAAATCATTGCTAAAGAGCACAAGTTTAATAAGTCTAACATATTTCAAAACTGGTGTAAAAGCTATTATAATAGAGTTGTAAAATCAAAAATTCGCTAGCGGTTTGACGTTTGCCGTAAACGTCAATCTTAAGGTCTCTAATATTAGCGCAAGGGTCTGTTTTATGTCGTGTAATGTCATATTTAAACACGACATATCAGTTTGATCAAACATTTTATACGTATTAGAAAAATATATAGCGCTATATAGTGATATAGCGATATAGCGCGCGACGATTGGACATATTTACGTTAGTCTATATCGAAGGAATGTTGACGAATGACGAACATATAGGTATATAGAATCGAGTATGTCGTTGCTTACATAATGTTTGTAAGGCCACGTCATTGGAATCGGGTTAGTCGAATGTGTAAGTTAAAAGGCAAATAGAAAGCCAAGCACGGTTTACACAAGGATTAAACAAGGATTAAATTAGGCAGTGGCGGGAATATTAGCGCTTTTTTACTTATAGGGATATATTTGTCGAATATTGAAAGCAAATTGAATGTCATTACCAATATATATGAGATCGATTATGTCGTTGTTTAAATAATTCAATCATCACTAAATAAATATATGTTGATCTTTTTCAAACTCCGCCGGAAAACATCGTCCTTAGATCTTTGCATGGACTATCCTTGAAACTCAAACTTCACGAAAATTGTATATACGCAGCCTGTAAACCTGATGCTTTGTCTTTGATGTATGCTGTCCTTGAACAAGAACTGTTCTTGTCTTAAGTGTTTTTCGCACTGTCTGTATTTCGGCGTGTGATGTATTTTGTTTCGTATACATATTAAAGACCTTGTACTGTTCTGTCTGTTCAGTGTGCAAATTATTTTTGACACATTAAAATACTTTGTAACTTCTTAAATCTGTTTATGCTTATTGAAAAATGCACGTAACAGTCGTTTACGTATTTTTGTCATATCTGATGTTCAGTATGTGATTAATTGTGTGTATAATATTTTAATTGTGTTCAATTTACTTAATACTTTCTTTCAGTAAATTCGGAATTTGACAATAGCAATTAAGGTGGAGTAATATACTAATATGGGCAACAAAATTGCTGCAACTTGCAACAAAATCTGATTTCTGCGCATGTTAATTGAAATGTTTTGTCAACATTTCTACTTAAAATGCGTTGAAATCAGATTTTGTTGCAGAAATTTTGGCTGCAGCAATTTTGTTGCGAGTATTACTCCAAAGTCCAACCTCGGTATTACTCCAACTTTAACAACAATTAATGCAGGCTACCCACATGTACGCAGCGCGTACCTATTTTTTATCATAATATGATTATCATATATTGGCATTGTAAATATGTCCAATATAGTGTCCTCGCAATTTGGTACGGCACAATTAAGTTCGACGTCTAAATCAGTTTCCAATATTTTGCCGTCAATTAGATTCGGCGCATGAAAAGTTCGCCGTCTAAACCGGGCCTTAGTCATTTAATAACAGTATCTGGCAACAGTTCTAGTCGTCAATATTATTAAAGTACGACCACATGAGATGTCTCATCATGCCTGCTGATCGAGTGTACGTACATACAACTAGCATAACTTGCAACTGGAGTCAGAATTAACAAAGAATAGACTTTAATTAACCACGCTTTGTAAGTTTAATAATTTGAAATTATATAGCCCTTCTTAATTCATAAATACCAAGAATGAAAATAGCCTGTCAGAATTAGTATAAGTACAAAAAATGTTGAGACTCCATTTTAAGAACTGTGGCACTAGCGTTGTTTCTAAAAACAGAAATGTAATATAGGTATGCCCGTCAGGAATATATTCTATGCAAATCCCATATATTTTCTGATAAAGTTTCGAAGTTCTCATTGTTTACATGGCTCATTGTTCTTCCCAAGCAATACAATCACAATAATTCTGATGAATTTACTCTATACAGGTTGCAGCTGAGTTGACTCGAGTCATTTACGGCAAAATCAGCAAGTCGAGTCCGAGTCGAGTCATTCGGGGCTGTTGACTCGAGTCGAGTCATTTTTGTATCTGCGCGTAGCGCAGATATATTGCTATCGCGTCAGTCAGTAAAGTTAAGTTAAGTTAATTTAAGTTACTAAAGTTAAGTCGTTAAGTCCTTAAGCTTGGACTTAGCGACTTAACGACTAAGAAAAGAATTCTCGAAGACAGGGGGCAGTACCACTATTAAGAATGTTGTATACCAGAACCACTTTATTAAATTAAAATTTACTCACATAATAAATTCAAAGGTGGAACTCATGTTTGGACTATTTACATAGAGATCATTAAATTATTTTTTTCAGAAAACGTCTCAAAGGTGATTACTTCCAATTAGCAAAGAATTGGTCTACCGAGCTGTGCTTATGCGTATATATATATATATTCTAACTGATGTAAAGAGTAATTAAAGAGCAAGGTTTCTACCATGCAAATTCTAGGATCGTCTGCGCTTAAAGTAACATTTTATGGTTTGGTTATCCTAACCTTTATTGGTATACTACTTTTTGCTACTACCATGACAGTCGACAAAGAAGAAATAATCGGAAAAGATAATAAAATAAGTAAGAGCACGATCGCGACAAGCACGATCGCGACAAAAAAAGTCGTGATTCTATATTGGAGTAAAGTGTTCAGCGCTGCACCAAGAATTAATACAAACCCTGACCTTTGGCCATTTTTTTATGCTGGGAACAATTGCCCCATTACGTGCGAACTTACAACGGACAAGAAGCGAGTGGGAGAAGCCTCGGCGCTAGTGGTTCATGCCAGGAACACCAACGAAATCCCGCCAAAAATTTACAAACATTTACCTTGGATTTTACACACGAACGAGAATCCCAATTACACGCCATCCCTCCGTGATCCGAACATCATGAAGCAGTTCAATTATTTGGCCAGCTACCGCTTAGATGCGGATTTTACTTGTTCAGAGTTTACAAAGCCAAGTTTAGATCCACCTGAGCCGTTTGCACAGAAGAGTGGCTTAGTTATGGCAGCCTTCTCTCATTGCGAAACGGTACGGACACGATATCTTACCGAGCTTATGAAACATATAAAAGTGGATTCGTATGGCGGATGTTTAAGAAATAAGAATAACCTAGTCAATGCAACTTTTACATTTAGACATTCTGTCACAGAACTGCAAAGGAACTATAAATTCAGTATAGTGTTTCCAAATTCGGACTGTGCTTTTTATATGACTGAAAAAATCCAAAGCGCTTTGACAGCTGGGAGTGTTCCAATATGGCTCGGAACGGATGGAATTGACGAAGTGTTGCGATGGGGTAATCTTCAACATTCCGTTATTAAAGTGAAGGATTTTAGTTCACCGAAGGCTTTAGCCGAGTATCTAACCAAGCTGTCTAAAGACGAAACCGAGTACAATAAATACTTAAAGTGGAAGTTTGATGGTTTCCAATTCCCAAAGGAGTACTATAAATCGGCGATAGGACTGTGGTGGGACGGATTGCCACTGTATTGTAGGGTATGTTTGAGGGTTTCACAGGATCCACAGGGACGCAACGGGTTGCCTGTTGATAGGTGCGATGGGCCTGATGAAAAACGGACTCTTGGAAAGTGGTTAAAGGTTTAATGTTTATAAACAGCTAACTCTACATCGATCTTAAACTCTAAGCGTGCAAAGCATAATCGGAGCATAATTTTTAATAATAATGGTTTAATTGAAGCGTATCTACAAAGTAGCTCTACATCTTCAATACTATAGTAATAAAATTATTTCTATGGCATAGTTGCCAAGTCCCACGCATTGCGCGTGGGACTCACGTATTTGAATGTCACCTCACGCCTGTCCCACGCATAGGAAAATCCCACGCATTTTGTGATATTTTCTCTATTTCTCACGCATTCTCACGCATTTTCAAAAGTATCTTTCAAATCATGATCATTTCAAAATTATAACATAAAAACGTTAACAATAAACGCGATAAACGCCACAAAATTCAGAACAATAACATGATTTACGAGAAATCGCTGACAAATTGCGGATTCAAACCTCATTAAAATTCATTTTAGTGAGAATTTCATGATGAGAATTTGCCGCTAAACACACATGTATAAGAATGACGTCAGTGGCCGTCGCAACAAATATGATCAGAATTGCCGCCATTGTAATACATACTTTACGTCTGACTATGGTATGTGGAGTTTCGAGAAAATCCCACACCTAACTTTTTTGAAAACTTGGCAACTATGCTATGGTATTAGTTAAATATACAATATAATCATACGTAGCTGCTTTTGAATTGGCTGTCATGCAGTAAATCGCTGACTCGCAATAGCAGAAAAATGACCTCGAGGCGAAAAAGGGAAGAATACAGTATTATATAATAACTACAGTGAAACACGCAATTTGATTGGTGCAGGATCAGGCTATCCTGCACGAGGAATTAAAATGCTTTCCCGGGATTTTCGCGCGATTCTCAAAATGTCATTGTTTCACTGTAGTTATTTTATA